TCCGAATCCCCCTTTGAAGCTTCTTGAAAACCTTTTTTGACAACTTCATCGACTTCTTGGAAACCCAATATAGCATCCATCTTCACACACCAATCATTATAGTTATTAGCATCAAACACCGGTAAGTTGCTTTAAACCATCCCTACCATCACTTCTCCATGGGAACTCTTCTTTATGCAGAGATGTTTAGAGAAAGGTAGAGAGAGCAGTCACATAAAATGAGAGAAGTGAGATATATTCTCATTCAAAGAGTATTGCCTTATATAAGGCACAGTACATAGGTAATGTAGAAACCAAAGGCTAACAAATTAACTGTATTACGACAATTATATATAAGTTTGGATTATTACAACACGTTCAAACTTATCAGGTTTCAATGGCTTTTTGTTATAATTTATAAATTATAATATATTGAAGCGTTTACTTAACGCATATTTTTGTGAGTAAAAATATCATGTGCAGGAAGGTTTAGTCCTACGTTCAACCTTATCAAGTTATAAGCGCTTCTCATTACAAAAAATAAAATATTGAATATTCCATTTTAACGCATTTTTTTGTGTGTAAAAATATCTTGCACAGGAAGGTTCAGACCTACGTTCAACCTTATCAGGTTCTAATGATTTTTTATTATAATTTATACATTATAATATATTGAAGTGTTTGCTTTATTTTACTTAACGCATATTTTTGTGAGTAAAAATATCATGTGCAGGAAGGTTCAGACCTACGTTCAACCTTATCAGGTTTTAATGGTTTTTTATTATAATTTATACATTATAATATATTGAAGCGTTTACTTAATGCATATTTTTGTGAGTAAAAATATCATGTGCAGGAAGGTTTAGTCCTACGTTCAACCTTATCAGGAAGGTTCAGTGCTACGTTCAACCTTATCCGAGCGGCTATGTGCCCACCTAGTGACGAACTCACTCTAAACTCTACGAGCGGCCATGCGCCCACCTAGTGACGAACTCACTCTCAACTCTTCGAGCGGTCATGCGCCCACCTATTGACAAACTCACACTAAACTCTCCGACCGGCCATGCGCCCACCTAGTGACGAACTCACTCTAAACTCTCCGAGTGGCCCTATGCCTACTAATGAGTGCATATTTATGCCCACATTTATGCTTTAGAATTTAATTTTTGATGAAATTAATTTGCTTGAATGATTGATTTAAAGAGGATTTGTGATGATTTGATATATTGTGTTTGGAATTAAAATGGACTTAAAAAGTGATTTTAATTGCATAAATTATTCTTGAAAATTCGTACCTTTATTTGTGTAGCTGAAATTATAAGTTCTATTGGTCCAAATGGCAATTCAAAGCCCAAAATCAGGTTTTATTTGGAAAATAATGTACAAATGGGCCAAACAGAAAAACTTTACCCTTACACCTCCTAAAATCCCTACATACACTCCTATTTCTGAAACAGGCCAACAACCAAGCCCAAACACTAAGCCTTTTCTCCTACACCCCTAAATTTTCTACCCATACCCCTACTACCACTAACTAGTTAGACTTCACCAGATTACGCCATGTGGCAATCCATCACAAACATATCAAACCGTCCAGATGATGCCACATCACTCATCCTTGCACTAATCAGTGAGTCAATCAGGTTTTGCCACATCACCACTCCTGCCACGTCACTATCTTCTTCAACCTTCAGAAACAAAAACCCTAATCTAACCTAACCCTAGCCGTCGTCACTGCATGCCGCCAACTGCTGCAAGGTTGCCACACTTAGCACCGGCTATCACAATGCCGCCACCATCATCGTCGCGCCACCACGCCACAGATCCAAACAACCACGCCGCGACGCAGAATGCACCACCACCGTCAAACCCGCAAGCTCCTCCTCCATTAGTGAAACACCACCATCCTTTCTTACTGGACCACCATCAGGCTGACGCCGCCACCTTGAAACTACGCCGCCAGTGGCCACGATCAACCACCTCGCCGCAACATCCACCTTCATCGCGTCACTCCCCCTTCTTCCTCGCGAAATCACGTCGTCGCACAACAACCGCAAGCCGCTGCCACAAAAACCCTGGTGTCATCATCGTCGCAGATCTGACCAACCAGTCTCGCCGCCAACAGCAAAACCTCCATGTCGTCTTGAAGCCGCCACCATCGCGAGACCAGACGAGAGTTCGTCACACCGTCGCGTCGCTGCTCACCTCCACTACGTCGTGAGAATCGCGCCCCGCCGGTAACATTCTTCCACGGCCAATCACCATCTTCCTCGCGAGATCCGACACACTATCCACCTCTTCCGCTCTGAAGTACGATCACCACTAGCCACTATCTTCTTCGTTCATCACCTTCTTCCACCACTGCTGCCATGCAACCTCCACGACCACCATCATCTTCTTCGCACCACCTCTAGCACCGCATCAGAACCTGCATCAAAATCAGACCTGCAAAGAAACATAGATCCAGGATCGTGACGCGCCCCCATCCTCGTGAGTTCATCCTCATCGCACACCGAAAAAGGAGAAGAGTTTCTTCTCCAATAGCAATGCGGTGCAGGGGCAAGCCTTTCCCCAATCTGAACCCTAATTTGGGAGAAAGGGGGAATTCAACATGGCAGGCCCTCATTGGCTACGAAAAACCAGTCAAACAGATTGGTTCTAGTCGACTAAGGAGTTCTGGTGCAATTTTGGGAAATTTAGAAGGGGCTAAAGTGTAGATAAGGGAAATTTCAGGATATTTGTGCAATTTTAGAAAGTCAGAAAAGCTAAAAGATAAAATTCAATTGTTGAATTAATTTAATTTGAGAATATCAACAGAAAATATCTTCCAAATAATGTTATAATTATCTAAATCTTTAAGTTATTTGGAAGATATAAGATAAAAGATTCTGTCAACTGAATATTCAGAGTCCAAGCCCAATCAAGTCCTGTATAAAGAGACCCAGGGGAGGCAGAAGAGGGACTTCACTTCATTCATTCATTCACCACTTCTCTCTATCTTATTTCATCTTGTATTCAACTTCATTCATGGAGAGTTAAGCATCTAGGGCTATTCTGTTGTAATTCCATTATGGATTCTGAGGTTAGATTGAGTTAATGCAATTGTTTATTTTGATTATTGATTTAAGTTGTTCTCTCTCTGTGTCTTTCATCTCTCTATCAAATTAAAAGCAAAGATTTTTGCATCATAATGTGTTTGAATCTACATGCATATTGATTATATGAGTTCTAGGGTTTCTAGGTTTAATTGAGAATCTACTTTGATTTAATTTAGGAACTTTCATATGATTAAATGATTTTTACTATCAATTGAGAAGGTACTTTGATTGGTAGTAATAATTTCAACTATAATCAATTGAGAATTTACTTTGATTGATTAGTTTTTAATTTGCTTAGACGATTTAATAATAGACATGATTAAACACAATAGGATTTGATTGAGAATGTACTTTGGTTGAATTCATTGTGAATAATCTAGAAAGGTTTTGCATTTGATTGAGAATTTACTTTGGTTAAATGCATGATCGCCCTCAAATTAATTAAGAATGTACTTTAATATATTTGAAACTTCAATAATAATCAATTGAACAATTATTTGTGAATAACCAATGATGAATCTATCTTGAAAAAGCAATGGAATTAGCTTATTTCATTATAATCGTTTTTAAGTTTCTTATTTGTTCTTTAAACCTTCTCCAAACATCATTTTTATTCTTGAACATAACATTGAATTCATAAGATTCAAATATTAAAAGGCAATTCCGTATTCGTTGGGAGACGACTCAGGGTTACTTTAACCCTATCTACTTTCTTGAATACTACTTGGCAATACTAAAGTTTCCTTGAAAAGTAGTATTAATTTGATAGCTTCAACGATAGCGTATCACCTACCAAGTGACGAACTCACTCTAAACTCTCCAAGCGGTCGATCGCCCATTGACGAATTCACTAAAGCCACGATTAACCTCCTTTCGCGCCATTTCGGAGCCTAGGCATTTTCAAACCCTTCGCGACTCTTTCTAGTCGCTTGGGCTTGGAGGGCTTTTGTACTATACAGGATCCACCGATAAGAGACTGAAGAGAGACGATCGGTCAAAGACGTGAGGACAATAGATCGATCATCTGGACGAAAGTGCTAGTGGACTTGATAGGCACTGAAGAGTATTAATGGGTAATTAATGTGAGTAATTACCGTATCATATGCATATATGTTACATTTATGAATGATTGACAGGATATATTATTGCGATACACTGAATATATGATGTTAAGGTAAAAATATACTGTATTAATGGACATTCAAGAGGCTAGACAATTACAAAGCCTATAAATGCAAGGTGAATGATCAAGTAAAGACATCTTGATCTATTATAATAAAATATAGACATGTTTATGAAACATATCTGACTTGAACGTCGGAGTGTCTTTTACATGTCGATAACCCATCAAAGTGAATTGCATTCTCGGAGAGGATTCAACGACCAAAAGAGAAAAAAAAAGGAAAATCTATCCTTGAACTAATTCAACCAAAACAATATGCATGTGTAAGTTTATATTTGTGTGCTTGTACGTGCCTATTCATGTGTGCATATGTTTGTATGTGAATGGTGTATTTCTACGTGTGTTTGCATTTGTATACGTGTTGTAAGTGTGTGTATATGCATGTCTACGTGTCAGTATGCTAGCATGTGCGTGTTATTTTATCTCAATTCACATCTTATGAAATGTAATTCTAGATCAAATGAAATGATTTGAATAAAATATTAGAAAGCATTGCAAAAGACAAAATTGAAATCAAGGTGTATGATAAAAGCTTCTGTACAACATTGACACCTACATATGAGTGTGAAATATAAAATGTATTTTACTGTACTCTTAATTATTTAAATAGATAATGATTTCTTAGTCACACTGACTCTAACACCACACTTGCTAGACCGAGGAAAGAAGCAACCGCCAATTCCTTCCAATCTGTAAATTCTCTTTCTTCTTCGTTCTTCTTTCTTCTTTTTTAATATTATTCAGTTATACACCTCTCTCTCAGTTTTAACCCTCTATTTTTCCTTAGTATTATTGATTTCATTTTACTTTATGCTTGGTTGGTCTCTAAATTTATAATTGTGTTCTGCTTTGCGATTTTATGGTTTGAATGGAAAAAGGGTTCTTGAATTTGTGATCTGTACCCTTTCAAGCTTGTGTTTTTTCCTTCGATGGATTGGAATTTTTCTTCAAGCATGTTCCTTCATTGTTTTGGTTGGTTTTATTTTTGTCATTTTCTTAAGTTAATTCTCCAAATAGATGAGAAAGAAAAGGGTGAATTGTGGGGATGGGGAAAAAAAATATAGTGTAGTGTTTTGTGTAACTAATTTCAAAATTTGTGAATTTTGGTTATTTGTTCATTACAATTCACAACTGGGTTCTCTGCGATCTGAACAGCTTTTGTTTTGCGAATGGTGTAGCACGTTTTTTGTATTGTTAATTTGGTGGGTGAAACTTCCTGGAAACTGCTTTAATACATACCTAATACTGGGTTCACGGATGAGGAGTGCGTGGATAAACCATTACCCAACTCAATATTCTTTTTAGAAGAAAAATATTATATTATTAACATTTAAAAATGAAATAATTTAGTATTTTAAATATACAAAAGATTAAATTGAATAATAATTATATTCGGTTTTAATTGAATCTTCGGTTCAACTAACAAAATCTGTAAGAGATTTTAAGTTAAGTTGGGTGGAGTTTGAGTCAATTGAAAAAAAAAAAAAAAAGAACTTAACCCAATATTTATCCAACGAACACCCTTACCTACACTCCTGTAGTTTGGTTATTTATATCTGTCATTTTGAGGTGAGCAATTCTCATATTGCAGGATGTTATTATTTTATTTCATGGAAGATTATATTCTGTTCTTCAATTATGTTTTCTTGTATGTAATTTCTTAGCTTCGGGAAGGCCGAAACTGCAAATTAGAATCATGCCTGGAAGGGACTGTTCGATGCTTTTGTAAATTTGTTGTTATCAAGCTATGTGTTGTTGCATACTCTTTCGTATGTATGACGTTTCTGGGTATTTTGTTCTTAACGTGCTTTCTCTCACTGTTAAAGATATTTGGTAGATGGATGTTTTTCATTTCGAGTTCTGAGTTGTTTCTGCAGTCATTGGCTTGCTCTCTCTATGCTACTTGTTCTCCTACACATGTTGGATGCTTTAGTTTTACAGAAGCTAGGCTTGAGTCATGTTTTCCAGAATGTTGTCTATTTTATGCAGATATTGTGCTTATGGGTTCTTTGTTTAGCATGACCAATACCAAGACCAATCAAAATGAACCTAAGGAAATCTCTCATAATGAGACCTGTAAGAGGCAAAGAATGTCACCTGCCACAGTCGAAGAATCTCCAAGCCTTATTCCTAATCTCCCTGATGAGTTATCCATTCAGATTATCGCCAGACTTCCTAGAGTTTGTTACTACAATATGAGGCTGGTGTCTAGGAAGTGGAAAACAACTATCATGAGTTCTGAGTTGTATAAAGTAAGGAAAGAGATTGGAACAACTGAAGAGTGGCTATATCTGTTGGTTAGGGATATGGAAAACAAACTCCTATGGCATGCTCTAGACCCCCGTTCTGGAATATGGCAGAGACTTCCGGTGATGCCCAGTGTCATCGATGGAGAAAATTCCCGGAAGGGTTCTTCTAGGTTTTGGATGTGGAACATGGTTGAAGGTATCAGAATTGCTGAAATTATTAGAGGTCTTCTTGGACAGAAGGATGCACTGGATGACATGCCATTTTGTGGTTGTTCCTTTGGAGCTGTTGATGGATGTCTCTATGTTCTAGGTGGATTCTCTAAAGCTTCAACTATGAAATGTGTTTGGCGATTTGATCCAATACAAAATGTATGGAAGAAGGTTGATTCTATGTCTACAGGTAGAGCATATTGCAAGACAGGAATCTTAAATAACAAGCTTTATGTTGTTGGAGGGGTTAGTCAAGGTCAAGCAGGGTTGATTCCTCTTCGGTCTGCTGAAGTTTTTGACCCTTTCACGGATACATGGTCTGATGTACCTAGTATGCCATTCTCCAGAGCTGGAGTCCTGCCCACAGTTTTTCTAGCTGACATGTTAAGGCCTATTGCCACCGGGCTAACCTCGTACAAAGGAAGGTTATATGTTCCTCAAAGTTTGTATTCATGGCCCTTTTTTGTTGATGTTGGGGGAGAAATATATGATCCACAAACAAATTCATGGATAGAAATGCCAAATGGAATGGGTGAAGGATGGCCTATTAAGCAGGCAGGAACAAAACTGAGCGTTGTGGTGAATGATGAATTATATGCTTTTGATCCTTCAAATTCTGTGGATAATGGAAGGATCAAGGTGTATGATCAAGGAGAGGATGCATGGAAGGTTGTTATTGGGAAAGTCCCTGTATATGACTTTTCCAATTCAGAGTCTCCGTATCTGTTAGCAGGTTTCCATGGAAAGCTTCATTTCATTGCAAAAGATTCCAAGCATGATATTGCTGTTCTGCAGGCTGTTCCATGCAGTAATTTGGATTCTTCAGCATCAGCCTCAACACCTCCATCTCCCACATTCATGCAGGATGAATTGTTGATAGATTCGGCTGCAGAAACAGATGCAGTTGTTTGGATAGAAGTTGCCGCTAAGAGTTTTGGACAGGCTGAACTCATCAATTGCCAAGTTATTGATATTTAAACTCATACCAAGCAACAAATGTCACAGTCAATATCTCAGTTTACTGTAAGTTATGCATCATAACAATGAGTTATGTAATAGTTAGTATTATTATGTGACATACTTTTGCTTGTTGCTAGGGACTCAAATATAATAAAAGCATATTAGTATTCAACGATTCACTTTGTACTAGAATTAACATTTAAATATTTAGTTAATGTTACTAGCAGAAATTTAACCTTTTCTTGCCCGAGTCATTAATACTTAGGTTCAGAACAGCTTCTTAATGATTCAAACTGGGAACATAACAAACGTTTTGCTGATCTCTCTACTAATTTAGAGCAAGTTGAATTACGCATTTATTTCCAAATTCTGACATAGTGAAACCACACAAAGTGGATAATTAGAAAGGGCTTAATTAGAACCCTAATTAAGGTTTAAGTGTGATAAGAGAAATAGATATTCATTTAATGTTAATCGAGATTTGAAAGGTAGAAGTCAGATTCTAAGCAGGCTTCTTCACCTCCATGACTCCCTTACATCAGTTGCAACGGTGAAGAATCTAACAGGCATGGGAGGTGTTTGAAGACAAATCAAATAATTATAAATTAAGACCAGTTTTAATAGATTAAGGATTACTTTAAAAATGAGTTTGAAAAATTAAAGCTATTTTCTATTTAAAATAATTTCTCAGTACTCAACGATTCATTTCTCATTCAAAATCTAATTAAGTTTTGAAAATGATTTTTAATATATAAATTGAATTTTACTTAGCATAAACTTTTTTCTTCTTCTAGTCTATTGTTTCTGTACTACAAATCAAACTCTAAGACAACTAAAAAGTAGTCAGAAGACAATTTTTAAACATGTTGAAGGGAAAATTAATTAAAAAAACTATTTCTTAAAAATCACTTACAAATCAGAGCTTTTCTCGTCCCAATTTATGAAAATTAAGTTCAAAGTACAAAAAATGCCAGCCACCTAAATGAGTTCCCATTTGCGTTTTTCTAATATTAGTTAACGTCAGGGTGTTGCTTTCTCCACCACCACACCATGTTTCCTCCACCTCCTCAAATTATTTTAATTTCAATTTTATCCTCAAGTTAAAACTATTTTACTTTTATTATTTAGATTTTTTTAATTAATTTAAAAATTATATTTCTGGGCAGCTACACCCCCACCCATCTCTCGGATTCTACTATCTTTCTCCATTTCCGTTTCACTTTCTCTCCTTCTCCATTTCTATTTCTCACTCATTTCCGTTTCTCCCCCATTTTCGTTTCACTTCTTCCTTTTCTGAACCCTACCCTTCCCATGTTATTGTATTCTTTTTTTCTTTAACTATATCTGGGACTGGTAGCGCATGAGGCATCGGAAGCGGCGGTGTAGTAGGCGGAGGCGAAGGAGGAGGAGGAGCAGGTGTCGGTGATGATGTCGCTGATGGACTTGTTAGAGGAGACTGATAGGGAAATATGGCTTCAAGGATCAAGGTATATATTGAGTGATGATGAGGATTTTGATGAGGATGCAGATGTTGATGGTGGTGAAGATGGAGATGGAGGGGGTTCCATGGAGCACACTTGTTGTATTTGCATAAGGCTGCTTCTTTTATACCATGTGGCCACACTTTCTGCAGGATGTGTTCAAGGGAGCTTATGGTTAGTACGGGGAATTGCCCACTCTGCAACAATTTCATTTTGGAGATTCTTGAAATTTTTTGACTTTTCTTTTTAATAATTTCTAACAAGTTCTTGGAAATTCTCTACTAATTTTTCTGATTTACTGTTAATGTTGTTGATTTTGCTGTTATTATTAATACTATTTTTGTTTGTTTCTCCCTTTTTGAGGTGTGAATTGCAGTGCTCCCCTTATTTCTTTCCATGCACAGAGATGAAGTTTTCATATAGTTTGTTGTTGTGCTTCACTCGATCATATTTTTTCTTCTGTATATGATAAAGCATATGTAATCTCTGAGATTTTGTTAATGTAATTTTTCCCATGAGAGTCGTTACTAGTTTTGTTTAGCTTCCTTAAGAAGGAAAGCAATATTTCCGTAACTCAAGTAATTAACTTAGAGAAGAATTTCTATATTATATTCCATTCATGAATGGAGTTGAAGATTCCCAGTGATTTATGATCCTCACTAGCTTATATTGCTTGTATATTTTTTAATCCCATAACGGATGAGAATGGAGATATAATTAAAGCAAAAAAGAAGACAGTAACATGGGAAGGGGTAAGGTTCAGGAAAGGAATAAGTGAAACGGAAATGGGTGAGAAACGAAAATGGAGAAGGAGAGAAAGTGAAACGAAAATGGGGAAAGAGAGTAGAATCCGTGAGAGATGGGTAGAGGTGTAGCTGCCTAGTAAAAATAAATGAGTAGAAATAGAATTTTTAAATTAATTAAAAAAATTTAAATGGTAAAAAAAAAAGTGGTTTTAACCTGAGGATAAAATTGAATTTAAAACAATTTGGGGAGGTAGAGGAAGCATGGTGTGGTGGTGGAGGGAGCAACACCCTTAACATCATTAGATCTAACAACACTATCATTAGGTTGTGGGTATTTCTTTCTATACCCTATGGTTTCTTCCTGCACCTCTGAGAGTGTAAAGACAAAAATGCCATTGGTGTCTACAATGTCCTTTTACGTTGTTCCTGTTAGTCCTTCTTTGTCACCTTGAGTCATGTCTTTTTCTAGTCTTACATTTTCTATCTCACGCTTTCTTCACTTAGAAGAAGATAATATATCTCAAGAAAATCAACACATAATTTTTATCATGGTTCGAATCAAAAGATTCTACGTCCAGTCGTTAATCACTATAAATAGTGATTAACCTTTTTCACTAAAAATATAGTTGTACAGATTACAAGATAATGAAATGAGAAAAGAATAGAAAACACCTTCCTTCGACAAACGAACCAAAAGAGTGCAACAAGTAACTTCCTTCGACAAACAAACTGGAAGAGCTTCCTTCGACGCACGAACCGGAAGCAACAGCTCTGCCAACTTGAAGAGAACTGCTCCAACCTTTGACACACAAAGCGCGAGCTTCTCCTATTCACAAGACCATACAAGAGCACTCTATCACTTTGAGAACTTCCTCAGACAAACTGTATTCTCATAATGGCATAGATCCTTTTCACTCACAGAGAGCTTCACTTAGGCATAAAGCTGTAATACTTTCAATTGACAAGTATTTATCTAAGAGCTGTGAAGACCTTTATTTATAAGCCTAGTTTCGTGCAGGGACAAAAACTGAAAAGACATCTCCCAACTGCCACTGCTAATCGATTATCATAAGTGATAATTGATTATTTTTGTCCGTTATGGGGTTTTCAAAATGTGATAATCGATTATCCTGAGCAATAATCGATTATTCGAGAGACTTGGACATTATTAAATGAAACAGTGATAATCGATTATTCTTTGTAATAATCGATTATTTGCGCGAGCAACTCTCTTCTAAATTGGCTCTTGATAATCGATTATTTGCGCAATGACTCACTAAATACGAAAACTTCTAACAGTTTTTACATCATTACAATTTATCCTATGGTGGTGTCTCCTAGGAGGACGCTAATAGTGATCATAAGTGATGGAAACCTAATTAGGCAAGCCATCCAAAGGAGTACTAACTCAATCTAAGGCTAGGAAAGGGAAGTTGAAGAAGAACTTTTAAAGGCTCTTTCTTGATTTTCTTTCTCTATGTCTTAGAAGGATTCCTCTTTTAATACTATATGGTTGTTTTGTTTTGTAGAATACAATAAAGGCAAGAACCATGGTCAACCAATCAAATTTTAGAAACGCATTCTTCAAGGAATCAGCACCAAGGTCGCTCCAGCGCCCTCAGACAGGGGGGCTCCAGCGCCAGCGAAGCATCCTGAAGCATGTTTTGGCAGCATTGTCCATGTGACCCAGCATGCTTCCCGTGACCTAGCTGACTTGGCCTTCAAGCTCGTCTTTTATTTTGAATTTGAAGGGAAATTAGCTCAGAATTGAGGCCCTTCTTCATCCATAAATAAGAATGCCTCCCCTTTGTAATTCTCACTTTTGAGCTTTAGTGAAATGCTACAGAATTTGATTCCAGCCCTATTTGCGTTTGAGTCACTCTTTCTCTTCACTTTCTCTACCCTTTCCTCTAGCTTCCTTCCATAGTAGAAAGGCCTTCTGAGCTGAGAGGTCTCTACACACACTCCTTCCATTAAAAACACACCAAAACACCACTCATCTTCATTCATTTCGCTGCACCATCAAGGCTTGCTATTTGGAGATTGCTACCAGTGAGTTCCAAGCCTAGGCAGGCTTCCATCAATAAGGATGAATATTATGTTGATCACTATGGTAGGAATGTTCACCATGATCATGGTTTTGCCTATGGGAGTGCTCATCATGGTTTTGACCTCTTTGATTGAGAGTGAGGTTAGTAACCATTTGTCTGAGCTCGTGGAACTCAGCTCGAGTTCGATTAAGCTCAGATTCAGTCCTGTTAAGTTGAGCTTGAGTTCTACTAAGTTCCTCTCTCAATTGTATATTTTCCTGATCATTATGAATGGTACCTTGAACACTAGAGTGACTCATACTTGTGAAGTAGAGAAAAGGTTTTCACAAGGGTTTGAAAGGCTTACACAAGTATAGAGTCAAAAACTTTTCAAAGAATTTTGTTTATATTTTTGGTGAATGATTTCTAGAAAGATTCTAGAGGTAAAAGAAACCGAATAGCTCCCAGGAAGGAGAGGTGAGTCACAATGGACAGGCTTAAGAGCCTTGTCCTTCCTTAGCCAGAGTTTCTCCAGTTGTTTCTTACCCCAGTTTCTAGGTAGAAATCTTTCAAAAGCTTTTTGAATGAAACAATGAGATGCACCTAGAAACCAAAAGAAGGTTTATCTATATGAGCGCGGACCTAGATATCACGGAGACATAAAACAGAAATAACAACAAGCAAAAATATTAAAGAAAGACTGCAAATGGAAGGAAGGACGAGGCACGACCCTAAGTGAAAGTGCAAGTGACACTTGGAGCCACTTGACACACTTTCACACTAAGATGTGGAGACTAGACTATTACAATGTTTAATGATGCTCTTGGAATTGCTTGAAAAGCATTTTCCCAAGTCACTTTAAGTTGGAAATAAAAGAACAAAAATTAATGAAACTACAAAGGTTTTGTCTTATCAAGCCAAAATTACAAGTAAAAATGTTTACAAAAGTAGCAAAGCCAACTGTGGCTGTTGTGTCACTATGTGCTGGTCCAAAATGATGAGCAAAAAGGTGGTGTGGTTGCTGAAACTACTGCTGAATGCGCAAGGCGAAGTGGCTCTTGGAATTGCACACTTGTATCCCTTTTAACACCTCATCCACTTCCTAAGATAGGGTCTAGAACTGATCACAAAAGCAAGAAAAACTCAAAAACAGAGAGGAAACCGTGTGCAGTGAAACTGTTTGATGGAAATACAAAATTGTTTAATGAAATGCCACAAAGAGATGTAGATTTTGGTATTTTCGGATATTGACCTTTCAAAACTGGATTGCAGGGTTTAAATTGCTTTACAGTGTATTAATCATGTCATGGTATTTGGAAATATAAACCCAGCTTTTGCCAATCCAAAAATGAAGATTAAAGTTTTGCAAATTTCAAACAGCAACAAAATGGCCTACTACACCAGAAAAGTGGCTTTAAAAATGGAACTGTAGTGGTCAAAATGAATGGCAATGTATCTAAGGCTCCAATGATATGTCAAACAAGTTTATATCATCATTTTTTATATGTGCAAACACTCAAACAGTAAGGAAAAAGACTACACCAGAAAATCAGTGGTCCACTTCCTATTTCAAGCAATTTTGATGGTTTGGATGGGGATTTTGCACATAAACTGAAAAATGACCAAATGAACATTGCACACAGGTTTCAAATGGTAAAATAAACTTGTTCAAATTCTCAAAATGCACAAAAACAGCCAGAATCAACAAAGCATACTAGCTGTAGCCAATTATGCAGCCTATTTTCCACCAAACTGCACCAAAATTCACAACAAACACTAGAATCAATCTGGACAGCACAAACAATGATTCAAGGAAGTCCTAATGAACTAGATCTTGCTACAGAATATTAGCTAGGAGATGTTAAATGACCTAAGACCAAACAAAGACTTCAAGCACGGTGCAAACTTGACTTAAAACAGTGACATATTCAGAATAGATTTTTTATCAACTCAACTACTCATTTTGCAATTCTGGGATTGATTAGAGTTGCTATCAAGTGAGACATGCTTAAAATCATAAAAGAAACTTGTCTCAAGCTTTAGACACAACAAAACTGGGCAAAAACAATATTGACCAAAGCAGACCAGAAATTGAGTTTGATACAGAATTGTGAAACAGTGACAGCACAAGCTACTGAAAGTAGGCAACTAAGGTATGCATTTTTCATTTTAGTGATTAATAAGAGTTGTTACTACTTGAAACATGTTTAATAACAGTAAACACACTTGTACCAAGGTTCAAAACCACAACCAAAAATAGTGAGCACAACTTGAAACCAGTGAAGAATACTGATGCAGATTTTTGAAACTGGAAACAATGTTTGCACTACTATTAGCTCAAATGATCAAAGTTGGACGTGATGCCATTACTTAATATGATCAACATATAACTAGCAAGTGCACTGGCCACAATCAAAAGCAAAAGTCAAAAGTTGAACAGAATCAAGCACATGCTAACAAAGGTAAAACTACAACACATTTGCACAAGACATTGGACAAAACTGAAATGTAAAGGAAAGTTGGATTTGAACTCAAATAAAGAAATGCACCGATTAAAACGAACAACAATCACTAAGGAAAGCTGAAAACACAATCACGGCACTAGCAAAGACGAAAAAATCCAAGCAGAATTGAAAAAAATTTAATGAAACAGTGAACACATACGGACTGCACATGACAGAGTTGAAGAACTAAGGGAAAATGTGACTTAGGTCTTGTAGACAAGCGTGGACGTGCTGACTCTTGATGCCAAATGATAGAAGTGTCTCGAATCTTCAAAACTGGACCGCTCCTCGAAGCAGAAGGTGGCAGCGGAGTCAAGAGTTGGCTGGTGAAGGCAATGCACGGAAGGTGTTTGTGAAAATGTTTGGTGAGGTTTGGAAGTGTGTATGCAGTTGCTCTAACGCAGGAAGCCTTCCAAGAGGGATGGAAGCTAGAGGATGAGTGTTCTAAAGTGGCACAAAGCAAGTGAACTCGAAGTTAGAGTGGCTGGAAGGAATTCAGTAGCATTTCTCTATTACATTCAAGTTATCCTTATAAGAAGAAGAAGCTCTCTTTTATAGAGTAAGAGAAGCTCAGCTTAGCAAACTACAACGTGCATGAAGCTACCAGCTAAGTGTGTTTCACGTGGGAAGTATTTAAAATGTGCTACAAAGTAAAGAAGATGCACGGTTGGTTGTGTTGCACGTGGAAAATGTTTAAAATGTGCTTGAAAGGGAAGAAGTTGCTCGGCTTGGCTGAAAAATGGATTCTTCTTTGCCTCCTTTGTGCACCCTTGCTCACCAAGCGTCTTTGCCTGATTGTCTATGGTTTCCAAGCTTATTTTTGTCCTATAAAACAATGTAAATGTATTTAGTAAAGTAAACATTCTAAGACTTAGAAAGAAAAAATCTTTTTGTTTATTCAACTTCCCTTTCTTAGTCTTAAGTTGATACTTCTTTGGATGGGAAGTTCTTAAAGGGGTTTCCATCATTAAGTAAAGGTTATAATATTCATATTTTCTCTCTGCACTCGTATAGACCTAGTGAAAAGACATTTTTACCCTTATTTAATAAATGAATAAAAATCCTACTTTGTTGCATTTTCCTTCCTCTACACCTTCAGCAATCTATTTTGGTTGTTTCTCATTGGAACAGTGAAAATTGTACCCTTGGCTAGTTATTGGAACCGCCTTAGAGTGTCCCCCCATTGCGTTGCTTAGAGAGGTAGGTTTTTGAAAAGTTTTCGTTTTTAGCTTCTATAGGTTTATTTTCCATATTAAGTAATTGAAAATGTTCCGAAATACATAATATAGAATATATTTTTAAATTTGAAAATACATCCCAAAATTCCAAAACGTATAATCTGTAATGTGATTTTTAATATATTTTAAATTATACATTCTAAAATGTATTTTCAAATCTAAAAATATATTTCAAACTCCATAATTTAAAACGTATTTAAATATTTTAATACATTTCGAATAAAACAACCCTAATGGAACACAGGGATGCATAGGATGCTGCTGCTATGGAAAAGGAAGGACAACAATGGGATATGGAAATAAAGTTTTGTTCATTTTTCCATGGCCTATGAGTACGAGGGAGAAAATAGCAGGAAGCACCTGCACATTTATTCAAATCAATACAGCTTAACCTGTTCCCATTTAGATTGAATATATTATTTCATTTTCTCTTAAAAATTTATTTAACACCGCTTTAATTATCTGTCAACCAAACAAATGAATTTCATTAACTATATAATAGACAACATAAATCGTCCTAAAAGAAAATGATTTTAAAATATTGTCATTAATAGGAAAAGCAATTTAAGCTTAACATGTCTTGTGCTTCAGTTTGATTTAGTTTATAAGAACTAAAAAGCATACAACAGAAAATGAAGATTTTTTTTTTTTGTTTTCAACATTTTAAGGGTTTATTTAGTTTAGGTTGTGCAATTTGGATCGGATTTTTAACACAATTAAATCCCAAAATCCATCAAACACGTGCGAAAAAACAAATATGCCAGAATGACAAAATAATGCTGTAATATATGGGTATAACATTCATGAAAAGAACCATTTTTATAATGAAATGCCGCAGTAGTATCTAGAATGTACAAATTTAAACAAACATTCAGGCCAAAAATAGATGATTGCATAATTCTACTCAAACTTCCATAGCAGAATTTTCTTTGTCTAAGAGGCCTTTTACTTCCTTTACTCTTTGCCGGGTTAACGCTACACAATCCTGAAAATACAGTATCGTTATATAAATTTCATACTTACAGCATAACGCAGTATTATTTCACGCTTTACGGTAAATAATTGATGTCAGAATACTAAATTATGTTTTAGGGATTTTAATGTACGCTATCGAACAATTTTCATAACTTTACCCTTCAAATATAAAACTCAGACTAACACTACAGAATGAAGGAAAAAAATTGAATCACAAAACTCAGTAAAACTAAACTGTTAAAGATGATATTTAGAGAAAAATTGAATCTCAATAAGACAGAAGCAAGCCTTACTATAATAGATGGGCCATTATATGAAGGTCTCAGGGGACCTCCACATCTTGTATTCATTTAAATTTGAAAGACTGACTTGAAACTTCAGAGTAATTACTTTAATTTTTCAAAAATTGATCACTAATGCATTCATATCAATGCTATAACTACCATATTTTTTTAATAGAAATGAGAATACTAAGGCATTACTACCTTAGTAGTTCTGTAAAAAAATGAGTAAACTAACCTGGATAGTAGAAGGATGGGCAAGAACCGGCCCACCAGTCTTGTAAAGAGATAGTAGTTGGCCAGATGTATCCAAAACTATTGTCAAATGGGTTTCCACAATTGATTCTTCTTCTGCGGTGGGATCTGCCACGATGTAATTCTTGTGAAGTATGCATGTTAATGAGAACGGAATGCTTCTTAATGTAAGCTTCCTCTTTTCCTTATTGACTGGCTCCTGTGTTTGGTTTTGTCCATCTTCATCAGACACAAGTACTATCTTGCCATCATCATTCATGGCAACAGCAGGAATTTGCACTGTCAACGCAGAAATTCATAGACAAACTCAATATGGTAATACCAAAACGTGGTGAAAGGCATCACATTAAGAACACCAACAGAAAAACAAATTCTCTTTAAGTATATGAAAACTCTATCTTTTCTTTTCTCCTAAATTGCATGGTGTACAGTTTTCAAATGTGCATCCTATTATTATGAAAAGGCGGTCGAACAGATGCATAATATGAAAATTACAGTGAAGATGAACTACTTACAATGAGATAAAGCAGCAACAGCAGAAAGTAAAGCGGCATCAAAAAGAGCACCATCAGCATCCAAACAATAGATATCCTGCATGATAAAAAAAATGTCATTATTCTGCCATTCAATCAATTGATAACACAATCAGAGCAAACAAAGACCGTGTACGTCACCTAATGTGATGTGTTACATATTCATTATTGTGATCAAGGTTTCTTTGTACTTAACATTTTTGAAAGTATTAATGAATTGTCATCTTCTGCTTATATTGTTGACTCATGATATATAGCATGCTAGATTAAGAAATCTGAATTCTTCCTATGTTATGAAATTACAGCGACTAGGATTAATTAATATGCATGATAAACATAGTAGTAAATGTGATATATGTGTAAAATCTAAAATAACAAATAAAACATGTTTTTTTGTAGAACGCCAAACTGAACTATTAGGGTTAATTCATATTGATGTAGCTGATTTGAAACAAACCATGTCTAGAGGAGGTAAAAATTATTGTGACCTATAGATGATTATTCAAGATACACCAAAGTATACTTAATCAAACATAAAGATGAAGCCTTTGATGTGTTCTTAACCAATAAAGCAGAAGTAGAAAATCAATTGAATAAAAAAATTAAGAGGATTAGATTAGATAGAGGTAGTGAGTATGTGTTATTTAATGACTATTGTGTTAAAGAAGGTATCATCCATGAAGTAACCCCACCATATTCACCTGAGTCTAATGAAGTAGCTGAGAGAAAGAATAGAACTCTTAAGGAGATGATGAATGCTATGCTTATTAGTTCTAGTGCACCTGATAACTTTTGGGGAGAAGCCTTGCTTACTGCGTTTTTACAAAATAGAATACCTCATAAGAAAACTGGAAAAACTCCCTATGAGCTGTGGAGAGGATATCAACCTAACCTTAAATATCTAAGAGTGTGGGGGTGCCTAGCTAAGGTGATGTTACCTGATCCTAAGAGTGTGGGGGTGCCTAACCTTAAAACCTCTGATTGCATGTTCTTAGGTTATGCTGAACATAGTGCTACCTATAGGTTTCTAGTTATTAAAAGTAAAATACTTGAAAGAAATTCTATAATGGAGACGAAAAATGTTGAGTTTTTTGAACATGTTTTTCCTTTAAAGGTTAGTGAGATGTCTCAACCTGTAGATAATAATCATAATGATGCCTTGTGCGAGGAATTAAGAAGAAGTAAAAGACAGAGGAAGGAAACTTCCTTTGGTAATGATTTCTATACCTATCTAGTTGATAATGATCCAAGTAGCTTTGTAGAAGCCATTAGTGCTCCTAATGCAAAATAGTGGGATAAAGCCATTAAGACTGAAATTGAATCAATTCAAAAAACTAATACTTGGACCTTAGTAGATTTGCCTAAAGGAGCAAAACCCATTGGTTGTAAGTGGATCATTAAGAAAAAGTATCATCATGATGGATCTATAGAGAAGTATAAGGCAAGATTAGTAGCAAAAGGTTTTACACAAAAACCCAACATAGATTACTTTGATAATTTTGCCCCTGTGACTAGAATTTCCTCTATTCGAGTTTTGTTAGCCTTAGCAGCCATCCATAAGCTAGTGATACATCAAATGGATGTTAAAACTGCCTTTTTAAATGGTGATTTAGAGGAGGAAATTTATATGACTCAACCTGAAAGGTGTGTTGTACCTGGTCAAGAGAATAAAGTTTGTAAACTTTTAAAATCTTTGTATGGGTTGAAACAAGCAACAAAACAATGGCATGAAAAACTTGATAATGTATTGCTATGTGATGGTTTTTCACCTAATGATGCTGATAAATGTGTGTACTCTAAATTTGAAAATGGTGATTGTGTCATTATATGTTTGTATGTGGATGACATGTTAATTATTAGTACATGCAATAAAATTGTTACTAGAACTAAATTATTTCTAGGATCGAACTTTGAAATGAAAGACATGGGTGAAGCCAATGTAATTTTAGGTGTTAGAATCATAAGAGAGGGATATAGTATATTACTAACCCAAGAACAATACAATGAGAAACTTCTTAAGAAGTTTGTGTTAGGGGCTGGAAGGTGTATGAGAGAAAAAGGTTTAGGAGAGAAGGAGAAGGCCGAACGTTGGAGGAAGGAAGACCAAGTCAAACAGTGGAAGGCGGGGAGAGGCGAGACCGAACGGTGGAAAGCGGTGAGAGCTCGAGCGAAGCGAGGGGCAGCAGCGAAGACCATGAACCGATCGGTTGAAGGGTGACTATCCTAACTGGGAAATATTCAGTATAAGTTAAGTACAGTAATATATCCTAGGGAGATATTCAGTATAAGTTAATTATAATAAATAGAATTATATTCTATTATTCAGTACAAGTTAATTATAGTAAATGGAATTATACCCTAGGGAAATATTTAATATAAATAAAGCCTAATGCTATGGTAGAAGGCATGCTTTTGATTATTGAGTTCGTAGACAGGCAACTATAGTACTGTGAGGGAGGTTATGCTCCCAACTATCTTTGTTACTTTTGTTTATTCCATTACCATCAATAAAAGAAATTCATTCAGTTCCCGTTCTTTCGATTTACTATGAGAGTTGAGTGTTATCATTCTACCTACTGTGATCGTGGTTAGTTACGTCTCCTACTCGGACACGTAATAGTTTGGGTATTTTGATATCAAACCCATGAGTACCCCTTATGATGCTAACTCCAAATTAATAAAAAAATAGAGGAGAATCATTATCTCAGTATGCCCAGAAAATTGGGAGCTTACTACACTTGATGAGCTTTTCTAGACCTGATGTTGCTTATGCAGTAGGTAGACTGAGTAGGTATACTCAATGTCCAAATCAAGAACATTGGGATGCACTTTCCAAGCTTATGAGTTACTTAAGAGGTTTAATGGATTATACCATTGAATATAGTGGATTTCCCGCTGTACTAGAGGAGTTCAGTGATGCTAACTGGATCTCTGATTCAGATGCGACAAAATCCACTAGTGATTATGTTACGTACCTGAGGTTGATACGTAATGATCCACAAACACAATAGGCAATAAAGCTAAAGAATGAATGATAATGAACGAATGAATCTCTTTTATTGATGGTAATAGCTGAATAAACAAAAGTAAACAATAATTGAAAGCATAAACTCCTTCAATTACTCAGGAGCATAACCTCCCTCACAAGACAATAATGTCTATTACAAAACTTAATAATTAAAAGCATACGTTTTACCCTAATCTTCCCCTTTATTTATACTAATTAATTCCTCCCAAAATGTACTAAATATTAGAAAATAATCCTATTTACTATAATTATCTGGTACGAATATATTTAGCCTTATTTATTATATTTAACTTATACTGAATAATATACTACGATATGGCTTTGTTACTTTAATTATCCTTTGCTGAATAAGATGTGTNCAACGCAGAAATTCATAGACAAACTCAATATGGTAATACCAAAACGTGGTGAAAGGCATCACATTAAGAACACCAACAGAAAAACAAATTCTCTTTAAGTATATGAAAACTCTATCTTTTCTTTTCTCCTAAATTGCATGGTGTACAGTTTTCAAATGTGCATCCTATTATTATGAAAAGGCGGTCGAACAGATGCATAATATGAAAATTACAGTGAAGATGAACTACTTACAATGAGATAAAGCAGCAACAGCAGAAAGTAAAGCGGCATCAAAAAGAGCACCATCAGCATCCAAACAATAGATATCCTGCATGATAAAAAAAATGTCATTATTCTGCCATTCAATCAATTGATAACACAATCAGAGCAAACAAAGACCGTGTACGTCACCTAATGTGATGTGTTACATATTCATTATTGTGATCAAGGTTTCTTTGTACTTAACATTTTTGAAAGTATTAATGAATTGTCATCTTCTGCTTATATTGTTGACTCATGATATATAGCATGCTAGATTAAGACATCTGAATTCTTCCTATGTTATGAAATTACAGCGACTAGGATTAATTAATATGCATGATAAACATAGTAGTAAATGTGATATATGTGTAAAATCTAAAATAACAAATAAAACATGTTTTTTTGTAGAACGCCAAACTGAACTATTAGGGTTAATTCATATTGATGTAGCTGATTTGAAACAAACCATGTCTAGAGGAGGTAAAAATTATTGTGACCTATAGATGATTATTCAAGATACACCAAAGTATACTTAATCAAACATAAAGATGAAGCCTTTGATGTGTTCTTAACCAATAAAGCAGAAGTAGAAAATCAATTGAATAAAAAAATTAAGAGGATTAGATTAGATAGAGGTAGTGAGTATGTGTTATTTAATGACTATTGTGTTAAAGAAGGTATCATCCATGAAGTAACCCCACCATATTCACCTGAGTCTAATGAAGTAGCTGAGAGAAAGAATAGAACTCTTAAGGAGATGATGAATGCTATGCTTATTAGTTCTAGTGCACCTGATAACTTTTGGGGAGAAGCCTTGCTTACTGCGTTTTTACAAAATAGAATACCTCATAAGAAAACTGGAAAAACTCCCTATGAGCTGTGGAGAGGATATCAACCTAACCTTAAATATCTAAGAGTGTGGGGGTGCCTAGCTAAGGTGATGTTACCTGATCCTAAGAGTGTGGGGGTGCCTAACCTTAAAACCTCTGATTGCATGTTCTTAGGTTATGCTGAACATAGTGCTACCTATAGGTTTCTAGTTCTTAAAAGTGATATACTTGAAAGTAATTCTATAATGGAGACGAAAAATGTTGAGTTTTTTGAACATGTTTTTCCTTTAAAGGTTAGTGAGATGTCTCAACCTGTAGATAATAATCATAATGATGCCTTGTGCGAGGAATTAAGAAGAAGTAAAAGACAGAGGAAGGAAACTTCCTTTGGTAATGATTTCTATACCTATCTAGTTGATAATGATCCAAGTAGCTTTGTAGAAGCCATTAGTGCTCCTAATGCAAAATAGTGGGATAAAGCCATTAAGACTGAAATTGAATCAATTCAAAAAACTAATACTTGGACCTTAGTAGATTTGCCTAAAGGAGCAAAACCCATTGGTTGTAAGTGGATCTTTAAGAAAAAGTATCATCCTGATGGATCTATAGAGAAGTATAAGGCAAGATTAGTAGCAAAAGGTTTTACACAAAAACCCAACATAGATTACTTTGATAATTTTGCCCCTGTGACTAGAATTTCCTCTATTCGAGTTTTGTTAGCCTTAGCAGCCATCCATAAGCTAGTGATACATCAAATGGATGTTAAAACTGCCTTTTTAAATGGTGATTTAGAGGAGGAAATTTATATGACTCAACCTGAAAGGTGTGTTGTACCTGGTCAAGAGAATAAAGTTTGTAAACTTTTAAAATCTTTGTATGGGTTGAAACAAGCAACAAAACAATGGCATGAAAAACTTGATAATGTATTGCTATGTGATGGTTTTTCACCTAATGATGCTGATAAATGTGTGTACTCTAAATTTGAAAATGGTGATTGTGTCATTATATGTTTGTATGTGGATGACATGTTAATTATTAGTACATGCAATAAAATTGTTACTAGAACTAAATTATTTCTAGGATCGAACTTTGAAATGAAAGACATGGGTGAAGCCAATGTAATTTTAGGTGTTAGAATCATAAGAGAGGGATATAGTATATTACTAACCCAAGAACAATACAATGAGAAACTTCTTAAGAAGTTTGTGTTAGGGGCTGGAAGGTGTATGAGAGAAAAAGGTTTAGGAGAGAAGGAGAAGGCCGAACGTTGGAGGAAGGAAGACCAAGTCAAACAGTGGAAGGCGGGGAGAGGCGAGACCGAACGGTGGAAAGCGGTGAGAGCTCGAGCGAAGCGAGGGGCAGCAGCGAAGACCATGAACCGATCGGTTGAAGGGTGACTATCCTAACTGGGAAATATTCAGTATAAGTTAAGTACAGTAATATATCCTAGGGAGATATTCAGTATAAGTTAATTATAATAAATAGAATTATATTCTATTATTCAGTACAAGTTAATTATAGTAAATGGAATTATACCCTAGGGAAATATTTAATATAAATAAAGCCTAATGCTATGGTAGAAGGCATGCTTTTGATTATTGAGTTCGTAGACAGGCAACTATAGTACTGTGAGGGAGGTTATGCTCCCAACTATCTTTGTTACTTTTGTTTATTCCATTACCATCAATAAAAGAAATTCATTCAGTTCCCGTTCTTTCGATTTACTATGAGAGTTGAGTGTTATCATTCTACCTACTGTGATCGTGGTTAGTTACGTCTCCTACTCGGACACGTAATAGTTTGGGTATTTTGATATCAAACCCATGAGTACCCCTTATGATGCTAACTCCAAATTAATAAAAAAATAGAGGAGAATCATTATCTCAGTATGCCCAGAAAATTGGGAGCTTACTACACTTGATGAGCTTTTCTAGACCTGATGTTGCTTATGCAGTAGGTAGACTGAGTAGGTATACTCAATGTCCAAATCAAGAACATTGGGATGCACTTTCCAAGCTTATGAGTTACTTAAGAGGTTTAATGGATTATACCATTGAATATAGTGGATTTCCCGCTGTACTAGAGGAGTTCAGTGATGCTAACTGGATCTCTGATTCAGATGCGACAAAATCCACTAGTGATTATGTTACGTACCTGAGGTTGATACGTAATGATCCACAAACACAATAGGCAATAAAGCTAAAGAATGAATGATAATGAACGAATGAATCTCTTTTATTGATGGTAATAGCTGAATAAACAAAAGTAAACAATAATTGAAAGCATAAACTCCTTCAATTACTCAGGAGCATAACCTCCCTCACAAGACAATAATGTCTATTACAAAACTTAATAATTAAAAGCATACGTTTTACCCTAATCTTCCCCTTTATTTATACTAATTAATTCCTCCCAAAATGTACTAAATATTAGAAAATAATCCTATTTACTATAATTATCTGGTACGAATATATTTAGCCTTATTTATTATATTTAACTTATACTGAATAATATACTACGATATGGCTTTGTTACTTTAATTATCCTTTGCTGAATATCTTCTCAGAATATCTCTCTTATTACTCTAATTAATTTCCTGCCCATCCTCACTGTTGTCAGGAGTTAGGATGCTTCCTCGCCGCTTCCCACCGTTCGGCCTGGTCGCTCTCCCTTGTCCACCGTTCGACCTGCTCGCTCCCTACCTTCCACCGTTCAGTCTGCTCGCTATCTGCCTTTCACCGTTCGGCCTGCTCGCTCCCTGCCTTCCACCGTTCGGTCTGATCGCTCCCTCGCCTTGCTCCGTTCGGTCTAATCGCTCCTCGCCTTCCTCCGTTTGGCTTGCTTCCCCATGCCTCCTACCGTTCGGCTCCAGCTCTTCACCACATTCCACCGTTCGGCTAGACCTCTCCACACCTTCCACCGTTCTGCTACCATTCGGCCTTTACGGTCAATACCGTTCGACCTCACTTCCCTCCTACCTTCCTTCTCCTTCTCATATACTTTCCAAACCTTATTATTACCCCTTACCTTATACCGTAACAGATTATGTATTCACACTTGGGGGTGGTGCGATTACATAGAGATCAACCAGACAAACTATTATTGCAAGATCAACAATGGAATCTGAGTTTGTCGCTCTTGAGATGGCTGGTAGTGAGGTTGAGTGGTAGAAAAACTTAGCAAACATTCCACTAGGAATGAAACCAACCCCATCAATGTCAATACACTGTGATTGCCAATCGGCAATAGCTATAGCTAAAAACAAAAATCACAATGGAAAGAATAGACGTATACAATTGAGACATGACTTGGTGAAGCAACTGAAAAAGAGTGAAACTATTTCCATTGACTATGTGAAGTCAGAATGAAATCTAGGGGATCCTTTGACAAAACCTTTGGGAAGAAATATGATCTTAGAAACATCGAGGGGAATGGGACTTAAGCCACTAGCAAACAAACAAGTGATGGTAACCAAACCTTTGTGATTGGAGATCCCATGAATAAGGTTCATATGGGTAAAAACAAGTCACTTGTTAGTTCTGATAGCACTAATTTGATTTTAAAATATATCCATTCCTATGGTGTGTGTGAAAGTGCTAGAGACTACATTATTGAGAAGTTAAACTTTCTAATTAATCAAAGTTTTTAATGATCTTCATATCCCTTACGGGTGGTGTATGATGTGCAGCATACACTTGATGAAATCACCTATATGAGTGTCAAGTGGGGCCGCTTGCATGAGATCTTGGCATGATCTCTAGAGCACTCATGAATACCTGGCACGCGCATGGCCTAGTAAGTGCATCACATCGATAACAGCAAGTATTGTGGGGGTGTACTGTGATTGATAAACCTCTAACACACTCAAGTGTCTTTGGTTCATATAGCTTGCTATACCAACTACACTGTGTTAAGTTTCTTGATCTAAGACTGGTTCATATAGTTTGCTATACCAATTCTAATGCATTACATCTTGTGAGACCCAAAATAATTTCTTTTCTCTTTCATTTGTATATATATTTTGCAGTATGTGGGGATTGTTATAAAAAGAGTACCATTATACTGATATTGCAAAATATCTTGGGTTTGATTGTGCATGTTCCGCAAGAAGCGCTGGAACGTTATAATCCCAAGTTGCGTGCTTCCAGGAAATGTTGCTGCCAATGTTCCTATTAGTTTGCAAGGTTTTAATTTATTAAAAAATCATTTTTTCTAGCAGATATTTTGGATCTTTTGGATCATGGGCCTGGTTCACCAACTCTATAAATAGAGCACTTCATTCACTCCAAAAGACATCATTAGAAATCACTCTTCTCTCATTCTCTCTTCTCCTGGTTTCATTCTTTCCCTTTTCTTCTTTTCCTAAAAATATTTTGGGTTTATTTTATTCTCTTTTTAAAGATCCTTGCTAGTTCTGAGATCCTCAGAAATTCTGAGAAGTTCCTATTGTACCCTAGGGGGCTTGCGCAATACACCGCGGATAAGTCCTTAAGGACAGTGATCTACACACCTCAGGAAGTCCTTTGTTCGTGATCTTTATTCTTTTATTGTCAGCTTCTACAACAATTTTCCCTTCCTCACAAAAACATTATTTTTTGCCATTACAATCTTGTCCGACTCGAATAACACTTTAACCCCTACTTTTTCCAGTAGTGCTATAGAGATTAAATTAACTCTGATTGATGGCACATGTAGCACATCACTCAAGGCCAGAGTCTTTCTAGATGTGAGTTTGAGAAGAACTTTCCCTTTTCCTAGAACAGGAGTAGTCCTGGAATCACTAAGGTAGACGTGTTCATCTCCATCCCTACACTAGTGTAGGAGGTAAAAGCACTTGTGTTTGCACAGATATGCCTGGTAGCACCAGAGTCTACCACCCACTTGCTCACATTGGTCATCAGATTTACTTGAGAAACGATAGCAGCAATAATTTCATCTCCTTCGCCTATATTGGCCTTAGGAGGATTGTCTTTTCTTGCTCTGCGCCTGCACTGTGGTGCATGATGGCCCAACTTCCCACATACGAAGAAATTTCCTTTCTTCTTAAAGGTGGGGTTAATGCCTTCGGACGATATTTTCGAAAATTATTTTTCTTATTGTGATAAGGTTTGTGTTCGTACCTTTTTGGAGCAGGTTTGTCTTCTACCATGTTTGCTTTTGCAGACAAAGCTTTGGCCCTCACAGCAGGACATTCTTTCCTGTTGATATCTTCAATAATTATGTGAGTGATCAGCTCTGAAAGTGACATTTGCTTGTGTCTGTGTTTCAGTTGTTGCTTGTAATCAGTCCAGGAAGGCAACAGTTTCTCGATCAGAAGCTCTGAAACAAAATCATCTGGTAGAAGAACATTCTCCACTTTAATATCTTCGAGCAGCTTGTGGTACTCATTAATTTGCAACTTTATGTCCTTGTCTTCAACCATTTCCCAGCGATAGAAATTCCCAATGATGAATCTTTGTCTGAATATATCTTCAGTAGTGTATTTGAGAATCAACGAATCCCAAATGTCTTTTGCTTCCTTATAGGAACAGTACACGTCGAAAAAATCATTAGAGTGTACTAAGTAAAGTATGGCAGCATACCTTGTTTACATGAACCCAATATTCAACTTATTTTGAATTTGGAGGGAGATTGGTGTCAGGTTTTGAAGATGAAAGAGAAAAGGCGACTTCGTACATGTCTAAGAGGGTTGACACACGTTCTTGCCAGCGCTGAAAATTCTGACCAAAGAAGACTTCAAGTTTTGATACATCCGGGAAAGGTTTCACGAATACCGTCTTGAGTTCCGGAAACAATATTCTGATTCTCTGGGATTAAGTTGTTGTTGTCAGCCATAAGTCCTTAAGATTGTTGTAGAAGCTGACAATAAAAGAATAAAGATCACGAATAATAGACTTCCTGAGACGTGTAGATCACTGTCCTTAAGGACTTATCCGCAGTGTATTATGCAAACTACCCAGGATACAACAAGAACTCAACTTTAGGAAATATCTCCTTACAAGAATGATACACATTAGATATTTCGAGATTTGGTTCACTCAACTTTCTAATTCTAAAATGTTTTTAACAATCTCCCATTAACTGGCAAATTGTTCTGACGAATCCTTAGAAGGAAGATGCGGAGACTTTTGTTGCTACTTGATCCCCCATTCGTAACAACTAACACATTTTCTGGTTGGGGTTGTCACTCCCACTCCTCAGTTAGTAATGATGTTAGAGGTTGTATCACAGAGGCTGTTGCCAGTGCCCATAGGGAAAGCATGGATTTAAGTCCCTTTTCGAGAGGCTATTGATACCATGTTGAAAGGATAACTACTTTGGTACCATGTTGAGAGATATGGTCCACTCCTCACAACTTTGTAATTCTGAAAATTATTTTAACAGTATTGTGACCCACTACTTCCTTCTAAAATGCGCTTGCTTAATCTTGAGCCCAAATACTAGATCCAACATACCATTTTATTTAATGAAGGAGCTAGACACCTCATAATACAGAAGTCCCTACATAGAACAATCCCTGGGAGTCCGCTTCCAATTTACAACACTTCATCCATCACACTACACTCAACTTCCTCTGTAAAAACCCTCTACTAGTCAAAATTCGTTGTAATGGCCATTTTCAAGAAACCAACAAGTACCATGTTAAGAAGAGAGCAGCCAAGTAGGAATATAATGAATCCCCGTGCATTGTGTACACACAAGCATTCTTATTTATAATGAAGAAATACAACAATATGGAACAAAATCAATATCAAGTCATATATCATATCTCCCTAATTAATTTAATCAAATCATATCTCAAACATAATCAACTTGTATCTTTGACATAATCTTCCCAAATCTCTTACTCCAAGAGATTGACAACCAACTCTAATACCAATTGATAAACATCCAAACATTTAAATACTCCACTGAGCATCCCATTTTATTCATTTTGGGACCTAGACACCCCATAATACCCATGTTATTATAACTTTGTTACTCTAACTTTCTGTGGTTGATATCCGAAATCTAGAAATCACAAATGAATATAAAAGCTTACCAAGTAAGTCATCCATGCAGCTTTTCCACTAACCAGAGACAATTCTTTCAAATCAATCATTCTAGAACTGCACAATAAAAGTATAGGTTACTTATTATTTGACACATCAAACAAACAAATACAAATTATTGATCACCCTGATGGTTGACATATATATATGTTTGGACGGAGGGGATTTTGAGGGAAAGGGAGGGTACATCTTCAGTTTTTTTATAAGGTTTCATGATAACTATTGGAATAATTATTAAGTCTATTTATGTTAGTGAAGTAAGAAGGACAGGGAGTAGTGTGTGGGTTATCTCTATTTAGGTACCTAACAGTCTAGGACAGTCTCTTGACCTTCCATCTCTCTACTGTATTAACTCTATCAATATAAATATTAGAACATGAGAAGAGTCCATTAAGCCCTCTAAAATTAAATTTCTGTTTTTAATCTCAAGTTAGTATCAGAGCGGGTTGATCCCGATCTAACTTTTGTTTCGTTTTATACTAATACACATTTCCTTAGATAAGGCTTCAAAGCTGTGTACATGACACATTGAAATGTGGCTGGGGCGTTAGAAAGTCCAAAAGGCATCACCAAAAATTCATAATGGCCTTGGTGCGTGCAATTGTCTTTAGAATATATCCTTCTTCCATCCTTATTTAGTGGTATCCAACTCTTAAATCCACCCTGGAAAAAAAATAGGACCCTTGCAACTCATCCAGCAACTCCTCTATGGGGAATTTGGCAGGGATAGTGGCCTTATTTAAGGCTCTATAATCAATGCAGAATCTTCAGTTGCCATCCCGCTTCTTAACCAATATAACTGAACTAGAGTATGGACTGGGTCTGATTATTCCTGTCCCGAGCATTTTAGCCACTTGTTTCTCAATCTCTATCTTCAAGAGATGAGGGTACCTATAAGGCCTCACGTTTATTGGAACCACTCCAACTTTGATAGGAATTCTGTGATCCAAGTGCATGTTTGATGACAGCCCTTTGGGTTCCTTGAAAAATTCCTCAAATTCTCCCAAAATCTCCTCCAATTCGGTGCTCTGATCCAGGGTCAGCTGCTCCTCACCCTTCTTCATTTCCTCCAATTCAATATTTCCCATATCCCATACTGATAGGATATAATGCAGGGGCGAGCCGAACGGTGAAAGACTGAACGGTAAGGGTGTGTGCGGCGCAGGACCGAACGATCAAGGGTGTAGAGGTTTCTGTTGTAATAGGGGAGTGGATCAGAGCTGCTATAAATAGAGCTCTTGTAACTCTGTAAAGGGCATTGAGTATTCTTTTGTAAAGTATGGACTTGACCAGAAGAGGGAGGTTATGTTCCCAACCATTCTTTGTAAATAATCGAGGCCAATCACCTAGTTGAGACTATTCACAGAGTAAGAGAGGAAAGAAGAGAGGAAAGAAGAGAGTAAAGAAGAGAGGAACTCTACTGGACATCAAGAAAGCAAAGCAACCCTCAGATAAAGGAGAAAATTCAATAAAAACCCACCTTCAAAGAACCTGGAAGACAAGACAGAACAGGGGTTCAAGTCTTGGTAGCAAAAATCCAAGAATTTTTCTTGGGAAGATCTTGCAGCAACTCTACCAAGAATTGTTAACGAGAGTTGAACGGTTGAAGGCAAGGGGAAGAAGTCAAACGATATAAAGATAGGGGGAAGAGAGCCGAACGGTAGAAGAAGTTATTTTACAGGGAAGAATTAGAAGCTCCTCGCCTTCAAGGAAATAATGAACATGCGAAAATGGTCCCATAAATTTTGTCTCTCAGTTCGACCACCACCCAAGCCTCCAGACCTGAAATTGCAGGTAGTAGCCAGCGGGTTCCCTTCCTATGATAAGACCATATCACAATGCCATGGGCTCAAGCTTCATTGTTCCAACCTTGAGGACAAGGTTGTTTTGCAACGGGGTGTAATGATAGGATATAATGCAGGGGCAAGCCGAACGGTGAAAGACCGAACAGTAAGGGTGTGTGGGGTGCAGGACCGAACGGTCAAGGGTGTAGAGGTTTTTGTTGTAATAGGGGAGTGGATCAGAGCTGCTATGGATAGAGCTCCTGTAACTCTGTAGAGGGCATTGAGTATTCTTTTGTAAAGTCTGGACTTTGACCAGAAGAGGGAGGTTATGCTCCCAACCATTCTTTGTAAAGAGATTTCTATCGCTGTCAATAATAGAACCCATTTTTTCTTTACTGTTTCTACCTACTGTTAGTGTTCATAGTTAGGTTTCCAACCCAAGAACCTAACACATACTAATGTCACCACTTCAATTTCCATTTCTTTCAACAGGGCCTCAGAAGTAACCACCCTTTTGGTTAACGAGGGCTCCCCTTCATTCATCACCTCCTTTTCCCCATTCTGAAACTCATGGTCAAGTTTACCCAATTTATCTTGACTTCTTCTAGTGAAGCCAGCTAAGCTACTCCCAAAATCAGGTCCACCCCTCCTAGTTCAAACAGGTAGAACCTCTCTTTTACCTCCAATTCCTTTAGCTGTAACAAGATGTCACGACAACACCCATTGGTGGTCTTCCTATGCACATCCCCTAGGAAGACATTGTAAGGAGGAGTTTCTTCCACAGCCAGACCCAAATCAATCACCAATTTATCTGAAATAAAATTGTGACTGGCACCACTATTAATTAAAACCAACACCTTCCTCCCTTTCAACCACCCTTGCAGCTTCATAATGTTGGTTTGGGTCCATCTCTCTCTATTCCATATCCTCTTCAAGCATGCCCTTTAGTTCCTTCAGTTTCTTATGGCTCCTTTATTATTGTGGTGGATAAAAAGTTAGTTGAAGTGACTTCGATAAATTATTTTCTTTCATCATCTGAAATAAACGAACCTAACAAAGTGACGAAAAAGATTAAAACATGCCTTGAAATGGTGTCGGACAACTGCTTTGACACCACTGGTGATGCTTCAGCAGGCCTGCCAGGCCTAACAATTGGAGAACAAATTGGAGGCATGAAGAAATCAACAGCTGAAATAACAGATATTAACACGTTATTTTTTGTGATGTGACCAAAAGACTGAATAACTAACACAAGTGGCACAGCAAGCAATACCAACCTAGACAGCCCTCATTTGGTGACTCCAAGGAGGGTGTCATAACCTCCATTTTAATAGCAGTCAACATAGTCTGGGAAGAGATCAATTAGTAAATCATTAAATCCACCCCATAATAAAATCAATAACCCAGATTCACGCAAGATTTAACAAAAAAGACACAGGAAGAGTGACTAACAGTTGATCCAATCTTCACTAGAGCTGACCCATTAGCAGTCGAAACAGCACCTAATCAAATGAGTTAACCATCTAAGTTTTGCTTCAAGTGTGAATAATACAAACATACCAAAGGTTTTGAAGATTGTAAATTAGAAGAGAGAAAAAATAACTAACCAAGAAAAATACTTGTTTCTCTGCTTTTTCCAAGTGCCCTACCATCAGGCCTTATTGATTCTGCAAGATGACGCTCAAAATAACGAAGTGGGAAAAGGCGTCTAAAGGCATCAACCTCCATCTCCGATGACAAGTCCTCAGAAGACTTTGGTAATCCCATCTCTTTTAAGTCTGACAACATAAACAAAGCCAAGAGTGTAATAAAATTGAATGAGTAACAGCTGCCAAAAATTGAAAAAAGACATTAAGTATCTAATATTGATATATTCTATTGATATTTCAATAGAGTACATTGATATTCCTATGAATTTCTGAATAGTATTTAAATCAACTATGTAGCTTTTAATCCTGAGATAAGTTTTTTCTTTCCTGTGATTGAGAAAAGAAAAACCACATGACATTATTTCTTCCCTCACTTTATAGATGAAACTGAATAATTATAATTTATGAAATGCAATATAAGAAAAACTTATTTCATGTTACCAAACAAAATCCAAACAGAGATATAAATGGTATGGCCAGTTTGAATCCCTGGTTTAATGGGCATGCAAAACAACAGCAGTGACAAGACATAGTATCTTTTTTTTTTTTTTTGTGTTCTGTGGCAACAAAGTTAGGTTTTAGAACCTTAAAACTCATTCAAACTATTCAAATCACACTCCATAACTAAGCCAACCCTAGTGGGTTACTTTTTGTTTCTTGAAAGAAGAAGTGTAAGTGACACTGCCATAACATCCACAAATGAAAATAAATGCCAGTCCCAATAGATCCTCCAAACAAATTAACATGTTGAACAGACAGAGGAAAAACTACAGATAATTGGAATGCACATAGTATCAAACACCTTAAAGGAATAGCGAAACCAAACTACAATGGCCAACAAACAAACATTAATAATAAAATAATTTAAAGAAGATGACAATGAAAGAAATGGCAGCAGGTTCTTACAGCAGCTCCCCTATGGAACAGAGGTGGGGCAAGGCAGCTAGGGCAAGTATTGAAGAAGCCTTTATAAAACTGCAGTTTGAACACTTTCGTCCATGGAGAAATAAATGAATAAATATTAAATTCAGAATACCCTCTCTAAGCCAATATTTGAGGAACTAAGAGACTTAAAATGAAAAAAAAAAAATACAAACAAGAGCAATGATGAATTCAAAATAAAGAAAGAAAAAAGAAGTCCCCAAAACATTAAAGAAAGGGAATGGGAAAATGCAATGCAGCAAAAATAGCATGCAAATGAGAAAAGAATAGTGAATGAACAAGAAAGTTGTACATAAATAGTCAAAAAATGGGCAAACCAGGCCAAGAATGATTATGAGAATCCAACAACTAAAATATGTAAAGCATTAATAAAGAACACAGAGCGAAAGCAATTACCTGAATCGAAAAGGGTCAGGACTTCAATTTCAGCGCAACTCGGATAACCGGAGGAACCGATTCAGCAAGGGAGGGTTTTCCAGAACCAGTGATGTTGTTTGATTGAGGGGACTAAGGGTATTGAGCAAATTGAAATGAGTCTAGCAACTAAGTTTAAAAACTTGATATAATTGCTATTATCCACTTTTTAATTACTAAACATGTTTAACTTTTTCTTTTTTTCTTTTTTATTATCTAAGACATCCTTTATATAAAAGTTATATATGTTTTATGAAAGTTATATATTTTTTGCACTTAATTATTTTTACATTGTTCTCATGTAATGGAAAATACGGAAGTTTTAATGATTAATTATTTCTTAGATAGAGTATATTATATATCCATATGTTTTTGGGAAACTAATTTAATTTAGTTTGCATTTGCTAGTCTAATAAATTATTTTAATTTGTTTTTCAAAACTTCCTTAATGTGATTTGTTTTCATAAAAACAGGAATGATTGGAAGAATGATACACACATTGTTATAATCTTTACCCAATTCCTTGTAATGGAGAAGTAACATCAAAAGAATTACATATAAAATGGTATTATGCATGATAATAATTAATAACAGGAATTTAATTTTATAATTAGTTTTTGGTGTAAATTATTTACTGTGTGTTTTTATATTCATTAATTAACTTTTTAATTTGTATTATATTAAAAACTTACTCATAAAAATAATAAAAACTATTATATAATTATAATTATGATTTTACAAATAAAATTTAATTATTTTATAAAACAAATTGCACATAGTTTATTATAATTTTACCTTTTATGTTATATTGGAAGAAATTTACAAGTATTCTAATATATAATTATAATATTATAAAATTAATATAAATTTCTTATTATAATATATAGTTTTACAATAATAATTATTTCTTATTTTCATATATATATATATATATATATATATATATATATATATGCTTACGTATGTTTCTTCTTTTGTAAAATTATGTAGTCTTGGTAAACTAATATTAGATTAGTTTATTTTTACTTATAAAACTCGTAGAAATTTTGGTACTTGTATCAGTCATATTTTATAGTAATTATATTTGCACTATTTGTAGTTAAATTTGTTTAAGAGTTATTTTCCACATAAAATAAAATTCAATAAATATTGTCTACATCGAATAATGTTATAATTTTCTTTATTTTGTTTTATTTTATTGAAATATGGGTTAACTTTATAACATAATGCATTTTTTTTCGTATGAACTCAAAAATCTATTAAGGGGTCCAATTTGAGTTTTTGAAATATGTTGTTAAGTTCGTATGAAAAGTTTAATATTCATATTAATTAAATATTTAGATGTTTTATTAGATTTATTGAGTTAAAATATAGTTTTTCTTTACTTTAATTTTATTTGACAATTATTTTTCTATTTAAGAATATGATTAGGGAATATAATATAAATATTATTTAAATTTCTAAGTATTGGAAATTTTAAATAGGAGTTTGAAAGGCTCATAATTAATGAGATGTGGCATATACCTCTTTGATATGTCTCTTGAAAAAACATGTCATTTTTTTAGCTTTTATTTTAAACTAAGAAAACAGTGCATGAGAGAGTTTATAAATTAGGCAGGCACTTGGATATGGTAAGATGTCTTCTTTTCTTTATATATGTCATTCAAATTTATTTTTCTTTATCTTTAATTGCATTCATGGTTAGTTCAGAGTGTAGAACTTTTTTTATGTTGCCAATAGAATTTTAAGGATCAGTAAACGAACCATAGACTATAAGTATAAAGAACATACGAAAGAATAATGATATTTTGAGTTCATTTGATATAATATTGTAAAGGTAAGATAATTATAAAAAATAATTTTTTTGTATTTGTGAAAGAAAATTAAAGAGTAAAAGATAATATTAAATGAGTGTAAAAAATTTTGAATGTAAAAATACCATTACTCTATATGATAAGTATGTAATGTTTGTGTAGCCTATGATAATAAACTAAAGAGATGAAAAATTAATTTTTCCATTTTAGTCAATTTTTATCTTTCATTTATAAATCATAAAATCCAACATCTTTATTTTCACCATTTCTCTAGTTTTTACTTCTCCCACAATCTAGCTACTAAACATGTTTAATAACTAGGAAAATTTAATTTGACATTACAGCCTTCTTTTATTGATTACAAGTTTTTAAAAACAAAGATAATAACAATAAAAAAAATGTTAATGTTAAGAAATGAGATAGAAATGGTAATGACATATACCTTAACCATAATTAAACATATTTAAGAAAAGTTGGAATCATGTTTAAAAGATGTGTCTATATTTTCTATCTTAAATCATGGTGAACGATCATGATATTTTTAGTAGAATAAGAATATTTTTGTAACTTGCATTTTTGAATTATTTTTAGGTCAGGTTAAATTACTTTATCATTTTCATTACCCCCAACATATATATAAACATTTTTCTTTAACTAGATAATGATTTTTTCACTCAAATTCTTCCATAATTCTCGCCACTCTGATAAAACAGAGGATTCTCACAACATTAGTAAAATAGCATTTCACAGTACAATAATCCAAGAGACACAGCAAGCTCATCTTATTTTATAATTGGATCATATACAAATAATTATACATAACAATACCAAAAGGGAAACAGAATTAAAAGCAATATTTAGTAGTATCAAGAATTGAAAGAACCTTGTTAGGACTTAAAACTAGAAAACCAGAAAAACCCAACATGATCAGAAATTATGAATTGGCAGGTTGGGTGTGGCTGCAATCTGAAATTCTTGAAATTTTCTTATGGTGGTGATTGGAGACCCATGAGAAACACCCACTTGCTGCTTTACCTTCAGAAGCCCTTTTGAATGTAGAAATATTCATTTGGGTGCTTTTCTCTTCTTCTTGTGCACTTTTTTTCCTCTTTTCCATGAACAGTTTTCTCGCCATGTATGCTTCAGGGAGACCAAACCCAGGGGTTGCCATGCCCAAATGGAAAAAATAAAATAAATGATATTTGAAGTATTGAAGGTTTTGTTTGAAATGAGAAGAAACAGGGGATTGGTTTATATAGAGGTGCATTGGCTTGGTGAAGAAGGAAAAAAAAGTGAAAAAGTGGTCCATTCTAAAGTCAACAATTTCGAAGTCTAGGTGGGGCCCAGGTAATTGGACCCAAACTTTATATTTTAACATTATAGATTATTGACCTGATTCAACGTTAGTCGATTTAATTGTCAATTTCAAAGATTTAACAAAATGGAGTGTTGATTTTCAAAATGATAATTAATTAACCAGCCAAACTTGTTACCTTAACAAGACTAGTTACATCAATCAGCACATTAAAAAATTAATTAAAACCCTGTCATGAATTTCGATATTTTTTTTTTCAGTTTTAGAATTCAATTAAGAAAGTTAATTTAAAAACTCTTTTAAAAATTTAAATAAATAAGGAGTATGCCTAGTAATTTAACTTGAAGTAAATTTTTAAAATTTAAGACCAAGTTATTTGTGAGAAATGCTGCTTCCTTTTTACGCTCTTGTTTTTATATACGTGTTACGTCATTGCTGACGTAAATGATGGCCCGCGAAAGATTTTTTATGGTTCCGCGAAATTAAATCAAATTTGCTGATGGGGCTAATGAAATTTCATGGTTGCTGTAAAATTAGAAAGAGAAAAATATATTTTAAAACATATTTCAATCTCTAAACATAAATTTGAAGAATTAAAAGTTATCTATATCTTTTAGAGATTATAAAGTAATTTCCACCCAAATTATATTTAATTCTAATAATGATGTAGTATTTAATTCGAATTTGAGACCTCTAAATAAGTTAAAATAATTTCACCTAATTTATTTACACATTTAGTGATTTGCAACTATATATATGAGTTATTTTTTGTTTTTTGTTTGTTTTGCAAACCAGATCTCTATTATTTAGTGATTTTAAGATTTTTTTTTTCAAGTCAAGTTAACCGTTTTTAACTTGAGAAAATAGATTATGGTTTCATAATGTTTAAAAAGTTATGTCATCTAAATACGGACTATTATATATACTAAGTTGTAAACTTTTATATTTATCATCCCAAATGTTGAATCAATAACGGTTTCTGAATAATTAATAATAAAAACAATTTTACAGTATCAACTTATATTCATAAATTTAAAATACAATTTTAAAATATTTTATTAACTTTTTAACTATTTTTTTCTTACAATAAACACACGAATATTAAAAGCATAAAAGGTTCAAATTGAACGGCTGTTTATAATATAATAAGCTGATATTTCCACAATTTAGCTAGTTGATAATAAGCTGATATTTCCACAATTTATTTTAACGTATTCATTTGCATGGAAATAACATAATTTTCTTTGAAACGTAAGATTCATTGCATCATAACTCTTAGGCCTTGTTCACTTGAGTGGATTTGAGGAAGAGTAATTGAGGGGATTTGAGAGATTTGAAAATAATTTTTTTTGTTGATTATTTGAATGAATTTGGAGGTAAATGAGATTGGATTTGGAAGTAAATTTTTTTAATCTGTCAAGTCAATCAAATCCTACACGAATTCTCACAATCTTTACTTCCAAATTCATTCTCACTTACCTCCTTGACTCAAATAAACAATAAAAAAATTTATTTTCAAATCCTCTCAAATCCCTTTACCTTCAAATCCACTCAAGTGAACAAAACCTTAATTTTCTTCAACTGTCATAAAACATCATTTCCATTTACAACGATAACCAAACATTTAATTTCACTATAGAGATAACAGTATACATAACACATCAGAAATTCATGAAAAAATTGAAAGAACCAAAGTAAGAAATCTTAATAAGAACATAAAGCATAGACGTTAGAAGCAATGCAAAAACGTCAAAAATGAATCAATTGGCAGATTCAACGTGGTTGTAATCTGAAATCCGAGAACTTTTACTTTGGTTGGAGACCCATGAGAAACACCCACTTGATGTTTTCTTCTCGCAATCCCTTTCCACTGTACAAATCTTCGCCATGTTCGTTTTTTCCCCTTCCTCTTCTGGTGCTCTCTTTTTAAGTTTTTCCTTGTACAGCTTCCTCGTTACGTATGCTTCGGCGAAACCATACCCTCCT